CACGTAGTTTGGGCGCTGCTTGCATGTGGGGTTTGCCTCCTCCAGGTCGTCCCTGCCTTTGGTGGGCGAGAGGCCTGTGGTGGTCGAATAAAATCTGCTGTCCAGAGACGCAGCTGGTTTCGTCGGCCTGCTTCCGGGAGCACAGGGGGATATGATCACAATCGGCTTGGTCATGCGTTTGGGGTCGTCTGGTTTGGTGCCCGGTGGAAGCCTGTTTCGTGCACTGACTGCTGACCTGTTGTGACCAGGGCGAGTTTTCGGTTATGCCACGGGTACATTCATTGAAGAATGTGTCCAGCACCAGAAAGTTGGGTGGGGTCGTCTGGTTTGGTGCCCGGTGGAAGCCTGTTTCGTGCTTCCACTGCTGACCTGTTGTGACCAGGGCGAGTTTTCATGCCACGGGGCTGACCTGTTGTGACCAGGGCGAGTTTTCGGTTATGCCACGGGTACATTCATTGAAGAATGTGTCCAGCACCAGAAGCTGAGTTGGGTGGGGCATGTGTTGCTTATGCCCAACCATTGTTTGCCGAAGAGAGTGCAGATTTCCATTCCCGATTCAGACTGACGGAAGCATAGAGATGGCCAATCCTTGTCTCAGCAGAGGGGTATGAACGATATTACGAAACGCTTAGGTGCTGTTGGTGCTACTTGCCTTCCAGGATGGGAATCGCGTGATCCCCACTGCGCCTGGTTTGAGATACTACAAGGCATGGCTGCCAACTGATGTTAGTGGCGTTCTTGTTGTCAGTTTCTATCCGGATTGCCTGAGTGATTGTCTGGAGGTGTAGGCACCTTGAAGTGATTGCGGTAATCTGGCACTAAGTCTCTTCCGCGTCCACATTTATTCTTTACTTCGCAATAAGGCCTTCAAATGAATCATGGTTGTACGACAGTTAAGCATCGGTGTTGAACAATGATGTCATGCTGTCGATGACGGTGATACTAATGATGCGTAACCAGTGTGTCATATTGATGGATTTTATAAGTTAATGTGCCAACTATTAAACAGACTCTGAATATTGCAGTATAAATTCAATTTTGGACTTTAAAGAATAACTGCTGGGGCACGTCCTTGTTAAAATCAAAGGAACCGTGAATTACTGATTCATGCCAACCTATCCACCCGCCATCCGACCCACAACATGTGCTATTTTCCTTTGCGGTCGAGATTAAATCCTTTACACCATTGTTTGGCTTCCTTCTTATTCACGAAAATTGGGTGCAAGCTGTCAGTTAAAACCAACCATTTGAGAGATCACCAGGGACATACATGGGAGTGAAAAATTCGACACATATCAGCATCACACACGTTAGCAATGATTGAAGACAGGTCTCAGTATAAAGGCTTACTGTGTAAATCAATGAAACGGAAAATTTTACATGCAGGATAGTGTGTTTCAATGCGAGTTCTACATTTTTACACCTGTAAAACACAGTGAAACCAAACGATGCAACAGATATAACATAAATCAAAGAAGCTAGCTTTCCCAATGATTCACTCAATAAATCCAGTGCAACCTGTTAATGAATCTTCGGCCTTTAGCCGAACACAAATAGGTCTCACACATAGATAAGCAGTACTTCAAGGTTTTGGAGTTACTCTGATTAGTCCCACGTTGGTAACTGTTTGAACGTTCCATATTGTTGCAGGTCCTTTCCTATGATGCTCTTGAATGAAATGTCTGACATCTGGGCTTTATTGACAGACGGTCCCTGACGCAGGAATACAAATCCAAACTTGTATAGATATCACGAGCATGCTTGTGTAATGCGTCATCCTGAGAATCCGCTAGACGTATGATCGTTTGCATATAAGCTGACCCATTTGTGTAAATATGCGCTTGAGGAAACTCAGCACATTTCTTCTTGCTGATTATCTACTAGGGTGTACAGGCTGGGGCTTATTTTAGCACAGCTTTTCACCACATCAGTCAACACATTAGGGAGGCACAGTTGCGTGCTGCTGTTCCGTGCCAGTGCGCTGCCGGTGCCATGTTATGACCACCCTGGACAGAGTAAATTATAGATACTACGCCTTGTCCCGGATTGTACACCCGGATATTGTAGACAAGCCTAGGTTCGCTGGTAAGCGCTTCCACACGTCTTTTCCACTTAACGTCGTGACGACTTACTCGCTGCTCTTACCTGAGGTACGGTTGTGTTGGAGTATCGCCACACAAGATTGCATAATCTAAGCGAAGGAGCTAGAGTTTACCATGATCGCTGCAGCGTGCAATGAGCACAATCAATTGAAATTTCCTGTAGTAAGTTGTTTTAGCAAGCCTGAGAATTAAGCTTAAGTATTAGTTCAGAAATATGCCGCAAACCGCTGTTTCTGAACATCCAGAAGTGACCTTTATGTAAAATCGGTGTAGGCAAGTGACAATTTCCCGTACATTTTTCAAATTGTGCCTGAGACAAAATTACTGGACCGGTACTACACAGTGATGATTAACTGCGGCCGAGCATTACACAGATTTCTGATATGTCGAGAAGCCCATCCTATATTGTTGTTAAAAGAACTGAATGCAAGTTCAAATTGCAGTGGCTAAGTTATCGGCTTTTTCCTCCTATTTTTGTCTCTTAGGTGAAATCATTTGTTATGGTTGAGCGGTGACAACAGGAAGCGCGTTTTTGGTCCGATGATATGCTTTTAACTGCATCGACTTCCACAGCACGAACAGCGTAGAACTATTGACCGAGCAGTTGCGTAACCAAGTGCCGCTGCCCAGCGTGCTGCTGAGAAATGAAAGTGCAATCCATATATAATGTTTTCGTTCATACCAGATGTTGCTTAGTTTTTAATGTTTGTTATGAAGTGCAGTTTAAAACGGACGTGTCATTACGCGTCCCGTCTGAAAATTGTCTCTGGATTGTTCCAGGGTCTTTAACTCTGCAATTTTCAGTTGTGTCCCCATGTTTAACGACCCAAAACACGTATTAGGGATTTTCGGAACGCAAATATTGTCACTGTATATTTCGGCTCGAGATGCTGTGTTTCGGGGAGTTGTTTCCAACAGAACTTATAAAACGAGGTGAACGAGACAAATCGGCGAACAGTAGGTTATAACTGTAGTTACTGACGCTGTGGTTCTAAAAGGCTGAAATGTTGCTACTGATTGAAAAGGAGTAGTTCGATGAATAAATTTCGCCTTAATTGCAATGCTCCTACATGCAGTTTTTTTCGGTCGTAAATCAGTCATTAGGATGATTGCAAAATGTTCATCTGAAGATGTCGATAGGACGACGCTGTGTTCATATCAGCACCCAGGTTTATGTACCCCAAATCCGGGCAATATTGTCCGAAAATATGATAGATGCAAGAAAAGAAAGCTCTTGAACGAGTTACAGTATACAGTGTAAAATACTAGCAACAATTTCAGATGACATAAATGTCATATCTACCATCCCTTAATAACTGTGCTACGTACTTGTTCAAATGTTTACTGTGACTGCATGGTAAGTGTTGCGTGGTGGATTAGTTCATTTCCCAAGTTTCTCAGACGAATTTTAAGGAGTATGTCCAAGACATCCCTGCTACGTTGCTTCACCCTATTTAGTGACCATTCTTTCTGACCCTGTTAACCTCTGTCAGTGCCTCACTTATGCAGAATTCCTAATTTGGCGGCGCGCTGGTGGTTCGACCTGTGTTCATGATGGGAAAACCACGAGCTTTCCACCTTGAACCAAGTCATTTCCATTCCGTAATTACTCTGCAGGCAGACTGCTGTTTTCTGAGCCCTACATTTTGTAAAGTGCCTAAAAGACAGTAAAACGTTATGATGGCCTGGACGAGTAAAGCCATCGTAGTATTCAACTGAAATGTCGTGGCTGATCGAGAGAGCGACTGCTAGCGACATTGTCTGGTTGTCCCATGAAATCCATATTGATTAACAAAACGTTTGTGAAGTTTAAGATACATTTATTTCTCTACAAATGAGAGTGGTCATTCAGGTGTGAAGTGATCAGCAAGTTAACAACAAATTACAAACAGGCAATTTCGATTTAGATGCCGACGTGATAACCGTCGTATTCTTTGCAACTTAGTGCGTGTCCATTAAGTGTTTACATTTCATTTTGCACTGATCAATGGTATCAAACCTGTTTTCACTGTTGCCGCAGGTATCTTTGTAAGGAACACATTGTTTTTTCTGCACATCGAAGTGGTATTTTGTGGTAGCTGTTACGAAACATCCACCTGTATTGTATCGATGTTTACAGATATCTGAAACGAATTGTGGTTAGTTAAGTAAGGAACGGTGGAGACCAGAACTCACGCAATGTTTAGAGGTGAGGGAGTAATACATCAGAAATCCTCTGAGTATATGCGCAATGTGAGTAAGAAATCACAATACAGTTTGTGGTTTCGGTTTCTCGGATATCTAACGGAGTTCTCACAATCTAGTTGTAAGCAAAGTCATACTAAAAGGGGCGTAGGCCGAGAGGAATGTGGACGGTTTTTTAATGTATAGGACTTGTTTGTGCAACAACAGCAAGATACCCCGTGGATTTCTAATTATGGGGGCCAAATTAAACGTTATCACTTGCCTTGGAGTCCATTTACTTCAACATTGACTAGTGGAAGTGATTGGAAGCGTCTAAGCTTAGCAAAGTATTCACTATGCTCCCGCTTGGCTTCGCTTTAAGCGCATATGAATGTCAGCAGGAAATTACGTCCGAGGTTTTATAGTAGACAGTTAGTGGTTGGCGTAATGAACGAAACATTTGTACAATCATTACAGCATCGATGTAGATGAAATTAATGAACACA